TCTAGCCGTACTTAATATTGATGGCTGAATTGTAAATGAAATTTTTAGTTTGCAATGCCTGAAGTATTTGTATTTCAGACAAAACCAAAAGGCGCCTTACTGACTTGCATCATGTATTTGAACCTGAATAATTACTGGATCTAGATCTAATGAGACCTGTGTACTTAACAGGCTTGAGTCGATAGACTGTGTGCGGGAATGAATGTAAAAATTTACCTCACATTACATTTTGGTTGTAGTAGCCACCGTTTCTAACATGATTATATTGTAGTTCTGCCTGAATTGTGGAAGCTTTCTCAGTTTTTTTTATAAACACCTCCTAGGATTTCTTGACTCCTTTTTTTATGACGTCTTATTCCGATCAATATTGGGTAGATATAGATCTAGAATCTAGATGTAGAAAAATCTAGATCTAGATTCTAGATCTAGATTAGATCTAACAATTGTTTCTGACATCGTTTGCACAAAAGTAGACGTCTTGTTCATCTCTCAATCATAATCATCTGAGTTTGAGTTTGAGCAAGTTTAAGTCGAAAGACGTTTGGATAACAATCAGAAATTATCAGTGCAACTCGAACTTAGGCCTAGAGAACGTATACAAGCTGTTTACTGTCTACGTTCTCTAAGTCTAATGTTCAGTGCTTCCAAGTGTGGCATCGAATCCCGGTCCCGAAAGGGTTGGGGGGTTTTTTCCTTCTCCTGAGCCTAAAATTAAAATTTTAAAAACTCACAGACCAAGGAAAGCCACTACTGAACTTTAACCAGGCCTAAATTGGTAAAAGAAAAAGTATCGGTATTTTTTTACTTTCCCTCCCGTCTCACACTCAGCTACCAATTGTCTATTTTGTACTAAATATTGATGCGCTGAACACGAATATCAACTTCATTTCCGTCGCAAATTAATAGTTTTTGTGAAATATTTGATTGTTTTTAACCGAGATAGACATGCTTTGGACCAATCGGGGGGTTCCAGGAGGGCCTGGCCCACTGGGGTAAAATTAAAAGAAAATCTGGGGGGTTACAGGGGGGCATGCCCCCCTGTTTTTACCCATAGTTTGATATTTTACAGTTAGATTTGAAATTGTCTTGAAAATAATTGCTTTGCGACAGTTTTAGTGGCTTTATGTGTGATCTGCGGCAAACAGTACAGCAGTTTGACCCCTGAAACAGTGTATCTGTGTGCGGGAGTGAAAGTAAAAATTTACCAAAGTATCTATAAGGCTATACTAAGGCCTACTTGTAGAGCTCCTCTTGGGGACAAAACCAGAAGAATGTGCATGCTTCTTCACTACTACTAGGCTACATAAAAAAAACTACAAAGCAACAAGATATAATTATGGGAACAATTTGTTGGTCAGTCGAGAAGAGGACAACAACAACAAACAAACAAAAACGTCCAGGACCGGGATCGAACCCACGCTAAAAAAGTAATGGTTTGACTTCAAGCGCAGACGCGCTGTCACTTCGGCCATCAGAACTTCCGATAACGATGTGCATATTAAGCTTGATATACACACGGCGACACAGCGTTTTATTTAGCACTGGCGCTAATCGCAACGCGGCGTTTTATTTAGCACTGGCGCTAATGGCAACGTGGCGTTGCAAAATAGGCACTTCCAAAAAAAATTTTTTAACACCACCAGTTTTTAAAGTCAATTAAAGTGGCAACATGGAAGGACCCTTGTTTAGTCAATGTCACTGTCAATGGTGGCATTTACAGAGGCTGCTCTCAACTGTAGTGTCTGTTCAGCTATGCGTGTATACAGGTAGATCTCTAGCACAGTGTACTTCTACACCTGTGTAGGCCTAAGTAATTAGCAGCAGAGTAGATCTAGGCTAGATCTAGCAGTCAGTGCACACTGGACCTGGACAAGAACAAAAGAAGACTAAATAAAAGGAGAGGAAAAGTAGGAAAGGGTGAACACAGTGTGTGGAATTTCTCCCAGTCCATGATTTTAAAACATCACGTAGAATCTAAGGTTGAGGCTGTCAACCAGATCTAATTTCAATGCAAAAGACAACTCGAGTACAGCCCGATCTAATTTCTTTGTTCTCCGTCTGGGACCCCTCCTCGCCGATAATAATGGTAAAATGGCAGTCCATTTCGGAATTTGAGCAAATTTAGGTCAACACAGCTTGCACAAAAGTTATAGTCAAGTACAATGCTTTTCCATCACGGCACAAATAACGGACACACAGGGTCCACAGTTCAACAAAACATATATTTCTCCACTACCTTGAAAGGTGTATGAGGCTTAGAGCATTGAATTGCTTTTTCCTGCAGATTTGTGTTGTCGTTATCGGGTCCTGCTGATGGCCTACAAGTCGGCCTCGGCGTGACTTGTGAGTCAGTTCTTTAGGTTGCCAGATCGGAGGAAGACGATAGGTCAAACAAGACCTGAAAGCAGCCTAAAACCAACGCAAAGCTCCGCCAAAATAACAGTAAACTTCTGGATTAGTAACCTCGTCTGGCATTTTTAACGCCAACATTCTAATTGACACCATGCAATTCCAGAAATCACACAAAAGTACTGGTACACTTTTGTAATGTGAGATGCTCGGCCACGAGCACTTTTTAAAATGCAATACTCCAGACTTGCACCGTTACAGTAGTATCATTAAGACTTGTACTAGATTCTAGCTCTATTACATTTCAGACTCTATGCAAAATTACTTCAATGTGTTGTTCAAATAAGACTTCGGGAAGAAGCCTGACCCACGACAAATCTGTTTTATTATGTGATTTTGCATTTGCAAAGCCAGTTTTGGTTGTGAAAACAAAGGACACTATTCCCATAAATTGTAATTCATGTGTGTATTTTTCTCACGAGCTGCCACGACTAGCCTTGAGGGCAAAGGCCGTGACAAATTGAATTAAAGCTTGGCTCAGAAAACTGAAAACAAAAACACTTGGCCTGATGATACTAAGGCCAACATGGCAACTTATGTGAGCTATAACTGCCAGGTCCGATAGGAGGATATAGACTGGGTGATTCTAGACAGCCTAGGCTAGGCCTTCACACACACACACACACACACACACACACACACACACAGCACAGACAAAAAAAAATATCGGATAATACGATTCGCGGAAAAATAATTGTTTTGCAGACACGGAAGACTTCAGAACAAACACCAAAAAAAACCTCAGAAAACCCTGCGTGTTGAATTCCTTGCCAAAGTCATATTTTAATTAAAACAAACTGAATTTGAGTGAGAAATCAGATATTCATAATCCCGATCACTTTTCTATCACGTGCACAGGTACGAAAGTCAAAATGATCGCGTCGTTGAATCAATAGATCTATTGGTTTGGTTTGATAGAGGTTTTACGGGCGAAAGTGAACAGGATACAGCCCAGTAGTTAATTTATAGTGGGCCTCTTGTGCAGCGGCGGGGCGTAGTGAAGGGCTAAAGGGCTTGAGCCCCACCGGAGATGACTAGTGAGAGATATTTCACTCGTCAGCTGGCCCCTCTTTGCATCATGTTATTTACACGAGATCGGAGACGCAGTGCCTTAAAACTATGTCACACCGTACATTTCATAGTTTGTTCCTCTCAAAGTCACTTCCCCTTGTTATTTCCTATAGGCCTAGTTAATACCGGGGACAGAGGGAGGAGCGGGGAGCCATCTAGGTCAATACGTCGGAAGTAGTTGTATGTGGTGAAGTTGGTCAATAAATGTGCGCATAAATATTCAATTCATCAAATTTATGCTCCAGTGAAGGAAGAGGAAGCATATTTTTTTAAGTTTTAGTAAGAATTCTACAGCACTTTCTGCGTTGCATCAATAAGGCCATGTAAATGCCAAAGAATAGATGCGTTACAAGAGAGTTACATACATAAAAAAGGAGGAGGAGAGATAAGGACCATAGGTGCT